TAGTACTAGATCAAGTCCCAACTCTACCACTAAACTAAAAAACCTGTTGCTCTCGAGTTGATTCTGACTCTAACACTGTAGCTTGGCAGTACTGGAAAGGTTACTTTCTAAGTCTCAGTTTCCCATTTATAGAAGGACTGTTGAAAGACAGTCATCCAAGAAATATTGAAATCAATCAAGGTGTATCAAGGAGAACTGTGGGATTGTCAACATGACTGACAGTAAAGAGGTTTGCAAAGAATATTGCGAGCCAGACTCTCCCATCTGTATCAGTCAAGCTGTTAGACTCCGCTATGAGTACATAAATCAGGCACAATGAAAGTTTGATTTCTCAGTTATCATCAATAAAGCAACTATCAAGCACCAACTGTGTATTGGTAACAAGGAGGAAGGTACAGTAGGAGTGGGAAGGGGAGGGGCTAGGCAATAAAAAGACAAAGAGTTACACTCTATGATTTTGTCTAACCACAATATGTACTCATCTTGCACCTAGAACTAAGGAGCTCTGGTAGCGTAGTGGTTACGAATCGGGCTGCCAACCGCAAGGTCAGAAGTTCGAAACTACCAGCTGTTCTGCAGGAGAAAGATGAGGCTCTCTGCTCCTGTAAAGATTTACAGCCTCAGAAATCCTGTACAGGGTCGTTATAAGTCAGAACCAATTCCATGGCACCTAGAACTTAGTAGGCAAAATGAAGAAAGGCAAGTAGATAGGCATTTACAGTCTAGGTGAGGGGACTATAAATATAAACACACTTGACATATTATGTACATGGAGATTCAATTCAGTTGAGACCATTAATTCTCAAACTTGTCTGATTACTAGACTTACCCAGGTTTTTTTTTTAATTACAGATTTCTGAGTCCCAGACCTTTGTTAGTTGTTGAGCCAGTTTTGCTTATGGTAATGCCATGTGTGCAGAGTAGAACTGCTCCATAAGATTTCCTATTCTATGACCTTTAGAAACCAGATTACCACACTTGCCTTCAGAGAAACCTCTGGGTGTGTTCCAGCTACCAAGTTCTGGTTAAGATTTGTGCCAGCCAGGCACTCCAAACCTTAGTGCAGACTTACTAAATCTGCAAATAGGAGCACAAGGTCTTCAAGTCTGAATCTTTGTTGTTGTTGTTTTGTTTTTACTTAGTTTTTAAGGCTCACCAGGAGATGCTGAAAGCCAGCTACTTGGAGTACATTTGACTTAAATCATGGACTGGCAGGAACCAGGGAGGAATCAGGCCGCATTATAGGTCATCAGGAGCTTACACTCTCCTGATTAGTGTTAGCACAAGGTAGTCTGGGCTAAGTGCAGAAGGATGACACAGATAAGGACATTCCAGGAGTTTGGAGCCTAATCAAGCTATTAGAATAGTTCACCAACCTGGGTTCTTTGGTGAGCGTATATGAAGCATTAATAAGGTGCATTAATTGCTTATTTTGGAGTTACATCCATTTAGAATTTAAAAATGAAGAAATTGCACTCATTATCAGACCTGGTCTTGGAATTTCATAAATGAAGAACAGAAACAAGTCCTTTGCAAGTTTTCACATAAAAGGCCAACTCTCAAAGCCAGTGACCATAACATTAGGGGAAGCAGATTACCATGGGCAAGAGGACAGGAAGCAGAGTAAGGATAAATGGGCCCCTTTTTAGGGATACCTTCCCCCTCCTTCAATAAAGTTAGTTGTAACACTATCCAGCAACTTCTTATGAAAGTTGCCAACTTTATATTGTTTATTAAGTGACTTATTTCCCTATAATTTGGACAAGTTCCTTGAGGCAAGGATAGTGTCTGATTGAAGCCCCAGTAGGCCCACCACATTGTAGGCTTAATGTAAATGTTCATATAAAAAGTTCAATGTTTTCTGTGAATAAGAGCTATCCAGAGCATCTGCTTCTCTTTCTCCTATGCCCTCGGAGTTAGGTAGTATCCCTGTCCCTGAAATAAGCTGTAGGGAGTTTTCAAAAATGAGTAGCCACTAAAAGTAGGATGAGAACTTACGTGTTATAAATTGGACATTGGATTGGAGTGATGTCAGGTCATAGAGCCATGAAATTAAGAACTAGAATGCAGCCTTCTAGAACTGTGTTTGGTTTCTGACTCTCAATACCACTGCAGCAGGCTTTAAACTGTGCTGTTCTTGGAATTTTCCATCTTTTCTAAGCATTCCACTGGATCCATAAGAAATTATCAAAAGACTTCATGAATGGAGAAAAGGGAAATACTAGGAAGAAAAAAATAAAACCTAAATTATTATCTCAAAATGTTATTCAACGATGTACATATAGGATGCTAGTTGTTGTTAGGTACAAAGTATGCTAGTGGACCTGGACTATTAATGATGGCTGAGAAAAACGTCTAGA